TACATTTATCCAGTTAATAATTGATATTTTAATAAGGAGCAAGTATTAAATCTGATTTGAACAACGCTGTGTGACGTTTGTCTGTGTCATGAACTGAAATTGTGATTACACAGACAGTAAACAAAAACCCTGCCAACCGTGTTGTGTTTTTGTTTGTTGTGTCCCCTCTGTGCGGACGTCAAGCCTCCAGATGTCCACTCTAACAGAGGAAGAAGATGAAAATGTCCTTGTGCTGCCCAGCATTTGTCTGCTTCAGCTGTCTAACGATGATGTCACAACATGGCGGCCATAGCGCTATTCGCTCATTCGTTTCATAACAGGTGTCATTTATACAAAGAGCGAAGTGTGTGTGATGGTCCATGTCCATGTGTGTCCTCTCAGCCTGTCCCTGTTTGGGACTGGAGACTACAAAGAGGCCTGGGGAGCTCTGTGTGTTGTTACGTCATTGGTGCAATTATATTCACACACACACATGAAAACACACAACTTTCTCTGCTCTACTTCCACCCCCCCCACCCCTGGATTAGTTCAAGGGCAAAGTGGGGTGGGGCATTTAAAAGGGTGAGTGACTGTGTTTGGGAATGGTGGAGGGCAAATGTATGGACAGATGAGGCTGCCCGATGGCAAGTGTCCTTAATTGATGCAATGAGGCGTGATACAGCAACGTGAATTGACTTGTCATGATCATTTAGTGACAACAATGTAGGCAGGAAAAGAGAAGAGAGGAGAGGAGAGGAGAGGAGAGGAGGGGAGGGGAGGGGAGGAGAGGAGAGGAGAGGAGAGGAGAAGAGAGGAGAGGAGAGGAGAGGAGAGGAGGGGAGGGGAGGGGAGGAGAGGAGAGGAGAGGAGAGGAGAAGAGAGGAGAGGAGAGGAGAGGAGAGGGGAGGAGAGGAGAGGAGAGGAGAGGAGAAGAGAGGAGAGGAGAGGAGAGGAGAGGGGAGGAGAGGAGAGGAGAGGAGAGGAGGAGAGAGTAGAGGAGGAGAGGAGAGGAGAGGAGTTGGAAAACTCAATGTGAGGAAAAGGAAAAGAAATAAACCCATGTGTATTAGTATGATGTATGTGTGTGTATGTGTGTGTATGTGTGGGTGGGTGTGTGTGTGTTTTGTGGCTCCACTAAAGGCCCTTCCTTCTGCTCTATTTACCCAGGTGAATAGAGAAGCTGCACCAAAGCTGAGCGGGAAAACATGTCATTTTGGAGTGTGTGTAAACATGTGTGTGTGTGTGTGTGTGAATTAAAGGAGAAACTCTTAATAGGTATTTCCTGACATGCTATAAATAATAGTAAAATATATGTATGGAAGTGATGTTGGGTATGAATATATGGACTGACAAACCTGACCACAGCACCAGCATGGATGAGTGTATGTGTGTGTGTGAGAGAGAAGAAGAGAGAGAGAGAGAGAGAGAGAGAGAGAGAGAGAGAAAGAGAGGGATTATGTTTTTTTTTTTGTGATTGTAATTTGGAATTAGAAGATGCATAGATTTATCTCTTTTTAATCTTCCTTTTTATTTGCTAATCATATAGAACACATGTCACTGTGGAAATGGGAGTGATTATAATGTATGTCCTGCCTCGGTGCCCGCCCCCCCCCCAAAAAAAAACAAAACAAAACAGAATAGTAATCATGTCTATAAAACAAACAATTATTTGAGTCTTTTGTTTTACGGAGTTATGAAGTTACTTTTATTTTGGAAGCTTGGTGCTGCTAAAGTGAAAGAACTCCACATCATAACATGCCAAGAGACATTTGGAAATGAAAGTATTTATTCATTCATTGCAATGAAATATTTTGCAACAAAGTGAAAATAATATTGTATATTTTCCTGTAGCAACTTATTAAAAAACAGTTCATAGCCTGCTGTTGGTCCGAGATATGGGAAAGCTACATCTTAAAGTGTTGGAATTGTCTGATGTTTGTCTTCTGTTGTAAACACAAAGAAATACAGAAAAAGAAACATTATTTTCTTGTGTTTGTTTCCTTTCGTTCCTCTTTTTGGCGAGGACTCATAACAGTTACGTTACTGCTTGACGTGATCTTTGTTTGCTTTTTTATCAGATTGGCCAACATTTGTTTTTGTTTTGTTTGGGGTTTTTTTCAGGGTTGGCACTCCTTTCTCTGTCCTGACCAACTTTTGAAATATTTACAGTTATTGTTCAGAGCTATCTGCAGCAGGCACCTTGCTCTATACATTTCTGTCCTAAAAACACCAGACGCAGACACAAACACACAACAACGGCCAAACGAATGGCAGCCAAATCTGTGGGGACAGTACAGATGAGTCTGATCACATCAACAGCAGTTCCAACAGTCCTCCTGTCTCTGTCTGTCTGTCTGTCTGTCTTTGTAAGTCTTCAGCTCTCCTTATTTCTTATCTTGTCTCCCTCAGTTTCTCTGTCCACAGATGTCTAGTCACCAAATCTGATGAGTTCTGGCCCAGTGTGTCGTACTCTTTTCCCTTCTCTGTTGTGGGCCTCACGTGGCTGTCAACCAATACGGACATATTCATATTCAGCGCTAAAGACCAGTTAATAAAACAGACCTCACAGCAAGTCTTTCTCCTAATGTAAACATGTGGAAACTGCTGATATTGTTGACCTCCTTCATTAAACTCTCCATGAGGGCATTGAGACACAACACTGCCAGTACAGGCCTCAGACTGACACTGGTATTGATATCAGCGCGTCCATATTTTCATGTATTTTTATTTTAAAATATTTTTTCAGGGTTTTTTTTTTTTTTGAGCAGATTTTTTGTATTAGATAAAAGCAGATCTTTTTCAAATTGCAGGACTGTCAAAAACACCACAGTGTTCAGTCCACGTCCCTCCTCGCCACTTGTTTACATCTCGTCCCCTCGTCGCTTCTCTCCTCATGGATGGTTAGGGTCGGTTATCAGGGTCCAACAGCCCAGCCCTGCCCTCCTACCTGACCGCTGCCAGCAGGGAGCGGCTGCTCTTGCCTGGGTATCTCCGACCACAACAGCGCTCAGGGAATGAGGAAATCAGTCTAGAGTAATCTATGTAGCCCCAGAGCACGCTGGCCAGCATGTGAGGGTGTGTGTTTTTGTGAGTGTGTACATGTGCATGTTCAGAAGCCCGCCACTATTTCTGCAACATCCGGCTATATATCTATTGTGACACGTCAAACTGAATTTATGAGCCAATCTGTTTGCGACAGACATGTTTGATTCAATAGGGAAATGAAGACGAAATTTATATATAAAAAAGACTGTAGTAAAAGTGACATTTGGGGCGAAGTGATTCACTGTCACTCTGACATTAGAAACTAACCATGAGTCGATAATACAAATAATAAAACTGTTGTAAAAAATTAGTCTCAGCGAAAAACAAATTAAACGCAAAGAGAGTACGCTGCCACGGCAAGTACAAGTTTGTTTTGTTTTTTTAAAGATTATTTTACCACTATGACTTCAGTAATGGTTTACTTAAATATCAGTGAAAGTATTTATTACTTATTGTGTTAAGAACCAGCTAAGATTTATCTAAGAGCCAAATGCAGTTATCAAAAGAGCCACATCTGGCTCGTGAGCCGTAGGTTGCGACCCCTGCTGTAGTTGTTGTAGAAACCCACTGAAGTTGATGTTCAAATCAGGATCGGATTTTCCAACTCATCTGCACTGAATAGTGAAACTTCTCACCGTATCCATCTGCTGTATATTGTTTTTGCCAACCACCAGTGAGCATGGGCAAAGACAGACAAAGACACACACACACACTCCAACACCACACACAGATACACACACTTATACAGGCAGCTGCCTCCTCACTCAATGGAAGCAGGTGCCTGAGGATCTCGTGGGGTTTGGGGTTTCACTTTTTTTTTTTTTCTCTTCGGTTCAGAAGAAGATGGTGAAATTCCCAATGTGAAAGTCTGCTTTCTTTTTCTGTCGTCTGTCCACAAGTCAACACCCCCCGTCTCTCACACTCTGACACACACACACACACACCGTAACTTCTGGCAACGGCAATTTCTCAAAAGGCAAATTGATTGCACATCAAAAAAAAATCTGGTACCTCTTTGTTGTCAGTTTGCACTGTCAACATTACAAAAGCCTGTTCGTATAATAGTTATAAAGTGGATGAGTCATCTGTGATAAATGCTCACCTGAGGGGGCTGCTGATGTTTTGCCCTCACTTCCTGAAAGCTGGGTCTGTGAGGATGAACATCACTTCTGTTTATGTGCTCCTCTGGGACTCCGCCTGGGATGGGAGGGTGTGTGTGAGGGCACTGCGGTGCGTATACTATATGTGGTGGGGGTGCAGGTTGAGCAGAGTGTGTAGGGGGTGTAAATTTAACTCAAGTGTGTGGGCCCCTTGGCTTTAATGGCTGCACACACAAAAAACAGGTCCCCTCAAGAGACCGAGCTCAAGTCAGATGTGTGTGTGTGTTTTTAACCGTATAGAGATTGATGGCAACTGTACACTGCTCTTATCACACATGATTTCTTTTCCACACTGACACAGACCTCTGTATTTCCACTTAGGGAAGTGAACAGAACAAAAAGCTGTGAATATGTCAATTAGTAGTTAACTGATACAAATGCTGTTGGGTTATTCTGGGCCGGGACAACATGGAGTGTTTTATTTATACACCTGATACTTCATCCAAACACTGCTTCTTGTACTCCAAAATGTGCCGATCCATAATTCCTTATTTTAACACAACAGTGTTTTGTATTTTTGTGTGTTTTGGAGGAATGAGGTGTAAGAATTTTTACAGCTGTCATAACAATTTGAATCCTGCGGTTCCTATACAGGACTTTTTTTTGTTTTGTTTTTTGATTTTAGTGTCTATTGAGATTAAGATTAAGGTTAAGAAGTACTTTAATCATCCCCAAATGGGGAAATTAACAATATTATCTTTTGTCCTGCTATGCTTTAAAAAAGCTAAAACATTTTGTAACTCTGCTCAAACCTGGATGACTTAGCTGTAAACATTTTGCCTGCCCTTTATAATGAAATGACAGAGAACACCAGGCTTTAAGAAAACAACACACTTTATTAACTAGGCAGTATAGAAAAGTATAAAAAGATGTATAAACTTGGCGTGTGTAAATGCTTTTTTTCCATATATATATAAAGATCACATTTCTCAAAAGCTAGTAAAAAAATGAGACATTAAATTCTGAAAAACAGATTGTCTGCTAAGTGTCTGACATGGCCTACTGCAGTCTCAGTGTGAAAACAAAAAGGTGGATTGAAAAATCATTAAGAATATACAAAAATACCAAAAAGAAAAATCCATACAAAAGTTCCACCTGGCCTCATGTTTGTAGCATTTTGTAAAAAACAAAAATAAGACAGTGTTCAGTAGTCATGCTTTTCCATTGGTACTCAAGTGCAGAATGGTCTTTCCCTTTACTGGGTAAAAGCTCAAGGAATCATAACATTGTACAAATGAAAATGTTTGTAAAAAAAAACAAGTGGTTGTGTATCAAAAGTATTCACTATTTATAAAAAAAGGTGCAACCACGGGACTCATGTAATACTCAAGACAGTTTACCTCATAGTTGAATAAGGCTGTAGGACCAAACATGGCTGCTCTTGTTCAGAAGTTTGCTTTTCACAATTAACACGGAGGCACATTGCAAATGCTTGAAATTTTTCTCCAGACCCATATAGTCCAGTTTAACGAGAAGGAAAACGAAAGTAAAGCCTCTGAGGTCAGTTCAGAAATCATTAATATGCCATTTGCTATGTGGTAATGCTAACAGGGCTTAACTTAAAATACTTAACTTAAAACACTGCTCCGTCGGCCAATGGTATAAAAAAAATTAAACAAAAAACAAAATTAAATATATTAATCAACTTGTTCTTTTATATTAATATCAAAAAAAATAATAATACAGCCCAATGCAAATTATATATCCACCATGTCCCATATATAATACAACAGTGATAACAATACAACGATAGGACCAAAGGTGAAAAGATGAATATTATTAAAAAAAAAAAAAAAACCCAAAGCAAATCGGACATGGAACTTTAATATGTAAAAGAAATTTAGTCTTTGGTTGGTTGAAATCCAACGTATGTGTGTGTATAAGAACACTAATGGCATAAAACCTCTCCCAACTGTTGTACCACAACAAATACGAAAAACCGCTGCGCTGCGTCCAGCGCACTGAGTGTTGATGTTTCCATTTCAACGTGAGTCTGTGTCTACATGATAAGTGTCCTCGTGGAGAAAGTGTTGATGTACTTGTGGCTTTGCTCTGAGGCCAAAACGTGCTCTTCTGTTTCCCCACATGTTGTCTGCTCCCAGGAACTGAGCTGCTGCAGCGAGGAGAGAAAAATGACTTGTTTTGAGTACGCTGTATGCTGGATTATGAAGTAACGATGCAGTATTTATAGATGTTTGCAGTCAATACCTGTAGTGGGCTGCTCATGCCTCTGAGAGGGATGTGGTAGATTTTGTGTCCATCATCACTCAGTAATGAGCTCGTGAGCATGTCCTGAATAAGGAGGATGTACACAGTCAACACTACAGCAACACAATAAGCCAAAGCAGGAAAAACGTAGATGTTTAAATAGTTGAGCGCTTACAGGAACTTCTTGTGCAGCGCCGTTGGGTGAGAAGAGCTGTGTGTGCAGGTCCTGTGTTTCCCACTGCATGCATGGGCTCCTCTCACACGGTGACTCCACCTAGACACCAGAACGCACCACGGTCAGGTACACATCCAGCTAACACCCAGTCTAAGCAAATCTCCACTCATTCATCCACACCGTATACTTGAAGAGTAGGACATACCTCCTGTTTTATCTTCTTCAGAGGAGGCTGCTCGATGGTGCACTCCATCGGCTCCTGCTTGATGGCGTGGATCATATGCTGATCCACAGGGATATTCTGTTAAAACAAAAGTCAAACTTCAGGGTGAGTTTCAGGCCAACATGATGACTTTGAATATGGATATTTTTGGTCGTTCTTGCCTGTACCTTCAGAAGTCCATACTTGGCTTCCTGCTGGGCCAGCGCTGACCTGAAAGGTGTGGGTGTGCGTGGCGTGGACTCCAGGATAGAACGGCAAATGTTTGGAGTTCGGAACCTGAGGGACAAGAACAGGGACAGAAACATTAGTCAAACTAACGACATGTTAAAAAAAAAAAGTCTTGTGGACTGAGGAACTCACATGTCGTTCTCTTTGTGATGCCCTACAGCAGGCTCAATCAAAGGCTTGGTGTCCACGGGAGAGTTCATTAGTAAACTGTCAGTGTCAGAGTGTTCAGGGCTCATCGACTGGCTGAGAAACTGCAGAGTTAAAGCACAGGAATGCTTATTATAAGATGTTCTACCTTTAGAATTAGAGTTCCACTACTCTACAGAGGATGAAATCAACACCCGAAAACTACGGATGTGAAGTGAAAAGTGAAGAGGTTAAAAAAACAAAGATTGATTCTTCAAATGAAGACAGAAAGGGTGGAATGATTATGAATGATTTATAAAGAGACCCAGCACACAGCCATTTTGAATGATTTGTCATCAGACAGCAGGTGAATGATTGGATGGATTGTGATCACACACAGCTACTTTAACTACCTGTGAGGGAGAAAAAGGGAGCTTTCTGACTGGTGAAGGCTTGACATCTTTAGCTCCTTCAACAATTCTGGAGCTCTTATTGGGTAAAATCCTGTCTGTTCTGAGAGCGGCCTCACTCACTGAGAGGAGGCTCTGGGAAAAGGGTGGGAAAATAAGGGTCAAGACCCACCACTAGGAGCATTGAAATGATTGCTGAGCTGACTGTTTTTCTTCCGACATATATTAAAAAATTATTTCTAAAAGCTTGCGAGAAAGTTGATTATTTTTTTACAATGTACTGCACATTGTATATGTACTTACTGAATCAATGACAGAATCCAGGAACTCTGGAATAGTGCTTGAGAACGTTGAGCTGCTGCTGTTGTTGTTGTTGTTATTATTGTTGCTGTGGGCGATTGTTGCAGAGGCGCTCTCTTCTGGAAGGCAGCTCTGGTCAAGAAGTAAGGCGGGGACAGCTGTCTGGTGATGAGGTAACAACGTAGCCACACCCTCTAGGCTCTGGCTCACCCAGCTTGTGTAGGGCAAATTCATCTGCAAAACAAAATGTTAAATAATACGTTAACAGCAGTAAAATGGCTCTTAAGACTGAAATTAGCAGCAAAAAAGCTTCTTGAAAAATATCACACACACAAACCGAACAAGTGTGAGAAAGGGAACTTGTAATGTAAAGGTCGACAGAAGTGCAAAATGAGAGGTTGCACAAGGGGTCTCACACACACACACAAAAGTGGTGTTAAGGTCCTGTTTCATCACTTTTGCAGAAACAGACCCCCAGATGTTTCCTCCTTCCTATGCACACCAACAAATGTCTAACCACTGTTCTTAGAGCTAGGGTCCAATCCACACACCCACCCGCGCACGCACGCACGTACGCACACACACTTGTGGAGAACTCACTGGTAGTGATGGCTGTCCTCTCAGTTCATTCTCTGTGGACATGAGCAGCAGTTGGATCTCTTTCACCCTCTGTTCTTTCTCAGGGTCTTCCTCACCATAGTGTCTCTAAAAGACAGAGAAGAGCCGGCAGGGTTATTGATAAGTGGAAAATGTTCAATATTTCATAAAATAGCATCTTCAAGTGCCGGAATAGTGGGATGTATTTATTTATCTGTTTGTTGTGTGTTGTCTTGTTTTACTGTTACCTGTATTGCAGCGGTTCCAGGCTGGGGGATGTTGAGGATGTTTAAATGCAAAGCCGTGGGGAAGGGCACCTGATGACACAATCAAAAACATGTTTACATCAAATAGAATAAAAACAGAACCTGCAGCTGCACAGTCTGTATCTCAGTGGTACAGTGATACATATATATACATATATATATATATATATAATTATTAATATTATTATTGTTTTTATTTTTGTTTTACAATTATCACCACTCACTCTGTGTGTGTTGGTCATGTAGTTGTAGTTGTGCGGTGACAGTGGAGGCAGCTGTGCCTGACTGGGTGAGTGATGATGGGAGAAACCCATGATGTGGCTGTTGGGCTTGATGTAGCTGTGACCAATGGAGTGCGAAGAGTTGCTGTTCTTTGACGTGTTCTGAAGGTAACCCTCCTGCTCCACCTTCCGCCTCATTGTGGAGTTCCAGTGATTTTTAATTGCATTGTCAGTCCTAGAAAGTTATGAAGAACCAATTCAGTATTAACCTTCAGGTTTTTAAATATATTTATTTATTTTTTATTCCAATCCTTTGGAATCCAATCCCTTCAATTACTCCACAAAACCTCAAAGTTGAGCGGCCACTCAACTTAAGATCAGTGATTGATATTTGTTTTGATTCTAATCTGTGGCTCACCTGCCAGGAAGGAGCTTTGCAATTTCAGCCCACCGATTGCCCAGCTTTTCGTGTGCCTGGTAGATGATCCGGTCCTCCTCCTCTGTCCACGAGGTCTTCTTAACCTCTGGGTTCAGGTGGTTGTGCCACCGTTCGCGACACTGCTTTCCGATTCGCCCCTTCAGATGCTTAGCGATCACTGACCAGCGCTTTGCTCCGTACTTCTGGACCAACTCGATCACCTGGCCAATGCACATTTTATGTTTGTGGGAGAACAAAAGGGCAAAAGAGGGGAAACACAAGAGCAGGAGGAAGAGTGGTGAAAGGGAAGAGAAGTTGGTGGTTGAGTGGCATGAAAAAAGAGGAAGGAAAGAGCAATAACAGGGAGGAGAGGGAGAAGTAGAGAAGTGTAGAGAGAGAAGAATAACAAGGTAACGTTTGTGAGGTAAGAGGGAGAATGGGGGGACAAAAGGAAGAGAAATGAAAGTGAAAACTTATTAGAGCTCATTTAAAAATCTCAGACACCCATATCATCTGTCACTGAACACTTCTGTCTCCTTCTCTGCTTCCTCCTTCTCACTATTTTATGCCTTTGCTCTGACACTGACACTGAGAACACCTGCTGGGGAGCACAGAGGGAGTTTCCAGGGGAATGTTAGCCACTCTAATAATCATTACAGCACTGCCCTAGCAGATCATCAGTCTTCAGTACTCGCTGAATAAGTAGTGCACAGGTTAAGATTGGGCTAACCTGATTCTTGTTGAGTTACAGCATCTAATTTGAGAAATAAAATGTGCAATAGCAGACCAGCAGTTGCTTCAGAATAGTTGCTATAATCAAACAGGAACCTCAAGAAATTATTTTCTTAAATAATCTAAAAAGAAAAAAAAAAGTACCAGCACTTGTTGTGTAAAAGGACTTCCCTGATGCTTGGACATGTGATGTAAATATTTTTGCATGGAGATTTGCCTCTTTTCACATCTTTTGGTTAGCACTTTTAAAATGTTGTTCTGAGAGACAATTTCTCACCCTTTGGTCTTCCTCTTTAGTCCATGGCCCTTTGATGAGTTCAGGGTTTAAAACTTTCTGCCAACGATGCTGACACTGCACATCTGTCCGATTCTGATAGGTTGGAGAGAAAAGGAATTAATAATCGAGCTCCTACTATGGGAAACCTAAGGCAAAAACTCCAAAATAGTCTTGCTCGTCACTGCTCTGGCACCAGACCGTGCGCCCATCAGATCTGCTGTACTTACTGTTAATTTGCTTGCGATATGTTTCCAGTCATCTGAACCATGGAGCTCGACCAGTTTCTTCAAATTCTCATCCTGAAATAAAAATAAATGAATACAGTGTTTCACGCAGAACTTGTACCAGACTTCTCTTCAAGACAACAACAACGTAATGTAGCAAAGAAGTCTAATATTCTGCATGCATTTTCTAATAATAATAACAATAATAAATGCTGCAGATTAGCCCATTGTCCATGTGGTTACCTCCTCTCTTGTCCAGCGTGTTTTGCCAAGGTGACGTTTCCCTGTCTTGGTGAGAGATCCATCGTAGTCATGTTCATAGAGCTCAGTCTCCTCCTCATCCTCTTCACTGCTGTAAACACTGCAGGACAGAGGGAGAGAGAAAGGGGATGAAGACATTTAAAAACAAACAAGTGGTGCTACCACATTGATGATGGCTGTGTGAAAAACAATAACAGCACTCTCTTCTCAAACTACTCCCTAATCATGGCTTTACAGAGAGAATAATAAAAAAAAAATCCAACCCACTCTTTAACTCATCAGGTGTCAACACAGACAGAACCAGTCATTCTTGAAGGTTTGGGGCTTTTAGCCAAGACACCCGCAAGGGAAGAGGGTAATACAGAAAGAGCAAGAGAGGGAGAGGGAGGGGGTATGGATGAACAGGTTCCAGTGTTTTTAGTTTCCACAGATACTGGGATTGGCGCATGCAATCATAATTTTGTGAGTCTTGCATGTTCAGACCTGCACTAGTATTGTACAATGCAGCCTTGCCATCTACAGGTGCACACGCACACAGTAGGTGTGTAGCCAATCACAATGTAGAGCATGCACAATGTGGAAACTAGGTAGGGTACAGTGCAACAGGTGAACAGTAATATGTGTGTGTGTGTACTCATATTTGTTTCCATTTAAGGTACATTTGTAGAATTATCACTGTTAATTTAACGACCAATACACATTAGTTCATTTATAAATGTTAGGTTAAAGGTCAGGATGAAGATGTGGTAAAGTTATGGTTTGACATGGACATTACCTGGTTATGGTTAAGGTAGAGATATAGAGTAAAGTTGTATACTGAAGACATTCTGACAGAATTAAACAACACATTTTACCACATTTTATCAGTCTATGGACAACTTCTAATCTGAAAAACATGTTTGTTTTTTTTAAATCACACGGAAGGAAGCACAAGATGACAAGAAAAACACCTTAAACTGATATCCACCTTTAAAAGTACAGATAAAAGCAGATTAGCCGCTTTAAACCGTGGTAATAAATTAATAACTAACGGTTAATATCTATAAAACTTACTTTGTTTTCAGGAAACAAAAGATTAGGAAAATAAATCCCGGTTTACATGACAAGTACACGCGCTTCTAGAACAATTGCACAAACACACACGGCGAGTTTCAGTTTTACAAGGGCCACGCATGAGGGCCTGTATTTAATTGACGCTAACGTAACGAAACCCAGGCCAAAACATATAAAGTAATAACATTTTAAGAGAGAGAGAGAGAGAAAGATTATAAAAGCGAGAGAAATATGACTGAGTGTAGGAGGAAACACAGGCAAAATTGAAACTGTGTATTTTAATAGACTGGTATTGGAGCAAATGTCCACGCGCCATACAGCACAGCGTCGCACGCGCCTGTAGTTATTAATTAGCGCGTGCAAAACAGAAAGAGCTAGAGAGAGAAAAAAAGACAGACAGAGGGA